TGAGTCCGTCGTCTCGGCGTCTTTGCTTGCTGGAATGAGTCGAGGGACAAGGAAGGCGTTTTGTTTCCATCATCTCGGGCAGGGCAGGGGTCCCCGACCTTTTTATTACCCTTCTGTCCTAAAACATCCCATAATGGGAGTATGCTTTTGCTGGAGTGAGACGAGGGACGACTTTTGCGCACCGATCAAAGCCATCTCAGATGAAAATGCGCAGTTAAATATTTTCATACTTTTGTGCCAATTGACTGACTTGACTCGATGACAACGAACTCTATGAGATTCGTTTGAATGTTTTTGAATGACGAAAAAAATCCGAGGAGGGCCGCCACACGCCGTTGACTTGGGTTCCCTTTTGACACGGCAAAACTTGACTTGTGAAAGTAGTTTTAAAGGCATTATGTATATGCAAATGATAGTTACTTTTATCCATAGCACAATACTGCTTTTCATTGCTTTTATTGTCCATAGAGGGCACCAACCTAAATAAGTCAATAGAAACTATATATGTATGGATTAGGTCTGACGCCACTGAACATTTTTTTTGAGTGGTCGCAAGAAAAAAAAATATTCAGAAATGACTTTGATATTACACCTCAAAGCCACCGTTCCAGTTTGGAGCCTTTTTTCCCATGTGTTGTTAAAAAAAGTCAACGCACAAGGGTTTTAACATGGCAAAACTTGACTTGTGAAAGTAGTTTTAAAGGCAGCACGTGTTTTACGTCTACCAAGTACTTGAGTATTTTTCTTTTTCGAAGAACAGTACTTTGACTCTGTCACTAATTGTAATATTGCGGGTGTGTGTGTGTTTTTCTTTTTAGCTCCACTGCAGCCAAATCCCGACTTGTGTTGGCGCTTTCACGCCTGTGGAATGGTGAGTCGCTTGAAGACTCGCTGTCCTTTTTTTTTCACTCCAAAACGTGGCCGCCGGTTGATGACGCGACGTCGTGGAGAATCACTCCCATCTGCCTTTTTGGCGGGTGTTCCTTTCTTTCGTTCGTTGTTTTTTTCCATCCATAACCAGCACCATAACTTCACTCCGTTCGTTTGACATTTTGGATTTGTGACATCCCATGTTTCTCGTTGGGCCGGGGCCGACAGGTGTGGCCGCCATGGCAGCCGCTTGGATGTCGGTACTTGTCGTGATGGCGGTTGTCAACGCGGCGGAAGGCGGTAAGTGTCGCCGTCGGTGAGAAATGGCAAGCGAGAAGTGCATCACCGCAGCCCAGATGACAATAATGCAATTGTGTTGACATCCGATGATTAGGGGATGACCGGCGACCGTGCGCCAGTGTCCACGCATCCAGTTCGGTGGTGACCGTGGGCTCGCCCGTCACGGTCACCTGCGTCGTCGACGACGACTGCCCCGCGCTGGCCGGACACCAAGTCCAATTGCGACTGGGCGACCGGGTTCTACCCGGCGTGATTCCCGTGGCCAATGGGAGCGCCAGAGCCTACCGGCTGCTGATCCCCGCTTTCAACCACAGTCGGGCCACCCTCACCTGCTGCCTCCGGGACGCGCCGAGTCACATCATCGCCGGCCTGGAAATACAAGCTGGATGTAAGGAAATGTTCTTTCCTCTATTGTGAGAGCGAAACTTGTCGTCTAATATTTGTCGCATGCCTTTCTCTCGACTTGAGATCCACCTCCGGCGCTCCGGAACCTGAGCTGTCAGGCCAACCTGTCCGCCCACGAGAGCCTGACATGTAAGTGGGAAGCAAGCCTGCCGGACTCGCACCTGCCCACAAAGTATACCCTCCACACGCACATCGGGTAAATATTCCAACGGCGGCAGCCTCCAAAGCGCAGCGACGCTTCACCCTCGACCGGATTTTTTGGGGAAAGTGCGGGATATTGTCGATTTCAGGGATTTAAAGTGGAGCCACGCCTACGAGCTTCCGCCGGGGGTCCGCAGCTACACCATCCCTCGCGCCGGCTTCGTCTTCTTCTCGGAAATGGAAATATACGTGAAGGGCGTGAATGCGCTCGGAGAGACGAGCTCGGCGCGCTTGGCTTTGGAACCCGTCAGCTCAGGTAGTTCGGGGAGGGCGATGCGGATGCTTTCTGAGCTGGGGCTTCCTTCCGAATGGGAGAAATCGGTGCGGCGGGAGACGTATTTGCTTCGAATGTCGCCCTGGTCGTATTTGAACATTCACTTTCAGTGCTGGTGACTGCCGAAAGAGGGTGTGCACACTTTTGCAACCCCATGATCTCAGTTTTACTCGCCCCCTTAGTTCAAATCATTTTAAGAATGCCCAGCATGTCATTCGGGCAACGTTCAAAGTGTTTTGAAATGATTTCTCATGGTCCCGTTTATTTTTTTTGAAATCTCGCATTTGCAAAGGCGCGCGGGGACTTCTGCCTGGTTCCAAAGCAACCTTCGCCATCGTAATGCACTCGTTGGATTGACTGTTTTGCTCCAGCTAAGTTTGACCCGCCAAAGATTGTGAAGCTGCAAGCGTGGCGTCCCGGCTGCCTGCGGCTAAAATGGGAATTTTCCCAGTTCCAGGACTGGATGAGGGACTTTGTCAGTCTTGAAGTCCGACTCAAGACGGAGTCGAGCGGCTCGTGGACCGAGCGACCAGTAAGTACGCTCGTCTATTACGATGCGCGGGGGAGATCCGTTTCGCATTGATTTGTTCCGTGACCAAGCAGGGTTATACTGCTCTCAAATCCTCGTTGCCATTCAAATAAATATGGAAATGCCATTCATCCGTTCCAGATCACTTTCAAATCGATTTTAAACTGGTCACGCGTAAAGGAGGTTCAAATGGTGCCAATCCAGTACCGGTAACTCAACTTCTTACGACAGGTACAATTCAAATCGCTCTATCAACGGTGCCAACCCAGTACCGGTAACTCAACTTCTTACGACAGGTACAGCGACAGACAATATGACCGAAAAGCAGGCCGGTATTCTTTTTGAACGCACGGCGTGACTCCCCAACATCGACAACGCCCGGAAAGCGGTGGCGTCATCCGTGCAAACCGAAGCCTCGTTTGTCATCGGTCACGTGATTTTATTTCCCTTGGGGACCCGAAACGAAATTGAGGCTTCCCGAGGCCCCGCCTCATTTGGCCCCGCCTCATTCTGCCTCGACCTTTCCTGCTTTCTGTTTGCCTGTGCCCGTGGACAGGCAAACAGAGCGGAGTTCAGAGCGGCGGCTCGGAACTCATGATCCGAGGGCCTCCTATGGTTCCGGTCGCTGCGGTCACTGCTTCCCCGAATGACCTTTCAGATCCTGGACCGGGCGATGCCCCAGAGGTACGTGTACCAGTGCGGTCTGCTGCACGGGACGCGGTACGTCGCCCAGATCAGAGTCCGATACCAGCAAAGCCCCTGGAGCGAGTGGAGCGGCGGCCGGCCTGCGTTCACCCTGGAGACCGGTAGGCCTCGAACCCCCCACGGATGAGTACCACCGCTCCGTGGTAGTATCGGAGGCGTGGCAGAGATGGGACGGTGGACTCCCAAGTTTCTTTCCCGTTGGGTCAAAGAGATAGCGGAAAGCCATGGCCGGAGTGTAAATCGGGCCAGCCCAACCCTTTTTTGGACCGAAGAAACGGACAAAAACCGAAGATTTGGGGAGTTTGCGAAAACTTTAGTCGTGACCTGACACGGAGGCACGGGATGCACTTTTGCGCCCGCCGTCTTCAGTGCAGAAACTATGGCCCGCTAAAATGCTTCTCCCTCCGCGCGCCAGATTGCCGTTCTTTGGCAGTGCCATCGCTGAGTTGCACACAAAACAAACTTTAAAGTAAGAATAATGATCACGAAAAAGTGAGAAGGCAACAGCCCCAATCGCAAGCGCGGACTGTCGACCGCTAACAACTTCCGGTGGTGCAGATCGTGCGGCGCCATACGTTAGCGCTCACGCGCATTTTTGTTTGTTTGGGGTAAAAGTGCAACTGACAGGATGCTTAGGGTGCCGCGTGCAGTAACACAAAATGATATCATATGAATCCCACGCATTTGCCCCTTTCACCCCTCGCAATGGACTTGGGGGCGTCGATCGCGATGGACGTATTGAGCAGCCGCGGCGTCACGATTAAGCTAAAAGGGGTCTCCTCGGCTGGGTTTGTTGGCGCTGCCGCTTTCGACCGATGCTAATGCCGCGTCCTTTTCATCGTTCCCAACCACGGCGCTTTTGGAAGTTCTGCATCGTTGAGTGTCGTTTTCCCGCTTCTCAAAAGGTGTTTCCTATTCGCAGCTCCCACCGGAGCCCTCCACACGTGGATGAGGGTTACCGGCCATCTCTTGCACAACCAACTCCAAATGCTCTTGTTTTGGAAGGTACGCACTCCCGGCCCGCGCCAAATCCGCTCGGTGTTAGCTGTCTTTACCGGCGCCTGGTTCTTTATCCTCCATTGCGTTATTTTCCAGCCGTCGGCACGATTCCGAGCCAACGGCCGCAACCTGTCTTACGTGGTTTCGGCACTGAGGACCTTAAATAAGAGGGGGAAACTGTGCGCCACGGCCGGGAGCCACTGCACCTTCCATGTTCCCAGGAAAGCCAGGAAAGTGTACCTCGTGGCGCTGAACGCAGCCGGAAGGTCCAGCCCGACGTCGGTCCCAATCTACCGCCCCATAGGTACCACCGCAAACACTCGGCTTCGCAAAAACGGCTCATTTTAAGAGACCGCCGCCTTCCGGTACCTGCAGCTGGTGAGACGATACCCGAAGTTCGCGCCGCCGCCGCCGGCAACGGGTCCGTGCTGGTCCGATGGGAAGACGTGCCGTCGCCCGCTCTTATCGATTACATCGTGGAATGGAGACCCCTGTTAAACAACGACCTGTCCCTTGTTCGCTTTGAGACTGCAAGACGGAATCTCTCAACTCTTATCGTGACAGGTATTTTTCTCTCTCTCTCTCTCCCTTCATTTGTGGCAGCCGACTTTGAATGCATCGTTTCACATCGTCATTGAACTGGATTGAATTGGATTCATCAGAGTTGGAGAGATCGTGTCACATCGTCATCGCGGTCGGTCGTATCATATTGGAATTGGAGTGGAATGCGGCGTATTGGATGATAATTCCCCATTGGTCCACCTCCAACTCCCGCCCCCCAACTCTTGAGGAAGACAAGGGCAAAAAAAAAAAATGGTCTCGGACCCTCCACATCCTGCTCACCACCTCTTCCGGCTCTTTCCCTCAGTTCGGCGCTATCCGACGATGACCAAAGAAACCCAGCAGACATCCCAATACCTTCATATCGTCATTGAAGTCAATTTTTTTTTTCCTCCTCGGAAATGGAATGAACGTATCCTATTCCGTGATCCTATGTTTTAAACGGGTGTGGTTTCATGCCAGCACCTTGGCGGCCATGGGTCACGTACGGCGGATCGGATACCATTCAATGACGGGAGCGGGCGGTGTTGGCCGATATACATTCCTGATCGGAATGTATATTCTTGGCTGCAAAAAAAAAAATGATGACAAATCTTCTCGACCGGCGGTTGGGGACTGCCGGCAGATTGAATCTGAATCCGTCACGCGCGCCGATCCACAATTTGCCGCCTGAGATGTGTCCGGCCGTTGTCACCACGGAGCGCCGGTCTCGCTGCCCAAGAATTCCCTCGCCTTTGACCTTCCTTGTTTGGGAAATTCCGGCTCGGCTCCATGCAAGCTCCCTCTCGCTGTCACCCACAGGCCCCTTGGAGCCGTACAAGCCCTACGGGATCTCCGTGTACCCCAGATTTAAGGAGGGCATCGGCCCGCCGCGGACCGTTCATGCCTACTCGCTGCAAAAGGGTGAGTGACAACAAAAAGGGGGACGTTGGTTGCGTGAGGTAACAGTGCCCTCCTGTGGCCGGAAAAGGAACTGTCGGACGAAAACTCTTGCAAACAGAGCGTTCAAATGCGCATTCGTTGGGTTTTTCGTTTTCGGCTTCCCGCTTGGTGGAAAATTGGAGAAGCGCAAGACGTTCTTTCGCTTTTCACTTCGCCTTTTGAACGCAGCATCTATGAATTGGCCATGAACTCGTGAAGAAATGAAGACAATCAATGGAGCTCTTTCAGAGTGTGTTTCACGGTTGAATTCATCGATTGAAAATGAGCTGAATATTTTGCAAAATGATTTCACGCCGGGAGTCGTCGTTTCAGTTCGAAATTGAAATTGCTCCGCACAAGTGACCAATGGAATGGATGATTCATGCATTGATGTCATTCGATTCATTAGTACTGATCATCGTTTGCATTTTTTTCCCCCCCATAAATTCTGAAAACATTTTTCCCAGAAGTCATCATTCAAAAGTCATACGTTTGTCATTGGACGAAGCGTTTTAACGCTGAATATTTTTCTCCGCATTTGAATACACTACGTTGCATTTTATTTGAATGAAATGTCTTGAAGATTTGTTTTTTTTTAAAAATACATATTTACGTCGAAATGAATACATCGGCTTTGTATGTTTGATTTGGGTTCATCGTCATTAGACTGTCAAGAGCCGCGATTGTTTTTCGAGAAGAAATCCTGCCGTCTTACCGCCTCATCACCAAATACGGATTCCTGAGCTTCCCAAAACAAATATTAATGGGCGGCGCTGCGGTCGAACCGGTTCGCGCGTCCGCCTCTCGGTGCGGGGGGCCGACAATTCCGGGCCCCGGCCTTCTCGTGCGGGGTTTGCATGTTCTCCCTGTGGCTTTTCTTTGGGTGCTCCGCTTTCCTCGCACGTTCCGAAAACACGACCGTGACCTTGGGGAGGATCAACGGATGGATGCGTTGTCATGACGACAACGATCACCAGCTGTGATCAAATTTTTTTTAAGCTCCATCTGAGGTCCCAAAGATAAGAATTAAGAAGAACTGGCAGTACCATGTGGAACTCTCCTGGGATGAAATACCCTTGGACCGGCGCAACGGGATCATTCAAAGCTACAAATTGTTTTACTGGGACGAGACCAGAAGGGTGCACGGTAGGCAAATTTGAATTCAGTTTTCCAAACCAAGATTCTCTATTCTTAATTGCGTCACGCAAGGGATACGTCGTTGTCATTTCAGTGGCCACGGGAGACCCGCAAGAGCGCAAAGTGGTCCTGACGGGCCTCAACTCCTGGTCTGTTTACGATGCCGTGTTGATGGTCAGCACGTATGGCGGAAGCCGGAACGGGTCCATGGTTCACTTTGACATCAAAGAAATGGGTTTGTGTTCCTTGCGCATGTGCCAAATACGGACGGCGTTAGCATCATCGCGACGACACGATTGCTTTATGTTTCATCTCAGATCCCGTCTCTTCTGTGATCATCGTGTTGGCCACGTGTGCTTTTTTGTGTCTGCTGATCATTTTTCTGGTCAAGACTTGTTCCTCCGAACATAATCGGTAAGTAAGATGGAAGCTTTGCTGCGACTGCCTTTCTTTTCCACGCCGTTCATTCTGACTGCTCGCTTTTCCACAGGCTGAAGGTGCGTTTTTGGCCCGACGTTCCAGATCCAGCAAACAGCAGCATCAAAAGTTGGACCTCGGAATCCACGCAGGTGGCACGCCGCCGTTGTCTTTCGGTCGTGCGGGTCTTTTAGCGTGTATGCTCGAGCTTGCGGATCGTGTTCCAAACACCCTCCGCAGCCCACTTTCCTGACATCCGACCTCGCTAGAGAGACTAAAGGTCCACTTTGTGCAGGACATCCGATCTTCGTGGGACTTTGAGGAGCCGAATCCAATTTATCTCTCCCACCTGAGCTTCCTGGAGCTACCCCGGAAGCCCGGTAAGGAAGAAGACGTCACCGCTTGGTTGAACAACGCGGAGGACACCAGCGACCTGGGAGAGTCCATCTGCGGCTCGCCTTTCCTCCCCGGTTTGGCCTCTTCCAACGGCGACTCGGTGCCCTACGCCACCGTCATCTTCCCCGCCCCGCACCCTCACGAGTACCTGCGCTCCGAGTCCACGCAGCCTCTCTTGGGGTCGGAAGAGAGTCCCAAGTGTTACCAGAACGTCGACGCGTCCGAAGGCTCGCAGTGCTTCTTTGGACCGTGCAGGCCCGAAGAAGAGGACAACGCCGCCGCCGCCATCCAGTGGGAGGACTTTCCTTTTCTTCGAGCGTTAGCCATGAATGACACTCAGTGATGTCTCATGTTTCATTTGACTTGTGCGGTCATGTGAAGTACAGCTGTGCCTTGACTTGCGGATATAAGTCTGTTTCTCAAATCATCTCTCCCATATCGACATGAAGTGAAAATGCCATTAATCCGTTCCACTACCAAAACCAGAATGAATTTCCGGGACCTGTTTTGGAAATAAAGCTCAACCTAACCGCGATCACTCAACACCACAAGTCACGGACACGCACCCTGGTATGGAATTGTAGAAAACTTGCATCAATAAGAGAATTAATATAATGTAAAAAAAAAATTACACGGGGGGGGGGGCGGCGCGGTGGTCGACTGGTTTGTGCATGATGATTTCATGCTGCCGTGTTGCTCCTCGAGGCGCCGTGCCACCAGGGGGCAATATAATGCAGAAAGATTTAGCGGGTTCACGGAAGTAGATCTTCGCATGTCGTTTTTTTTATTTTTTATTTTTTTGCAGGGGATAAAATGAATAAATGCCCGCGAGTGTTGTATGCTCTATCTGACTTGTGTTTCTACTGGTTGCGTTATTCATATCAGTTGGTTCAAGGTAAAACAATGATACGAGTTTTAAAATCCTCTGGGGAAAAAAAAAAAACGTTGATTACATTCATTGGTGTCCCATGTTTTATTCCACTTTTTACGGTAATAAATATGTATTTTTACGCAGACAGTTGTCTCATGGATTTTCCTACCACATTTCAAGTAACGCTTTTGACTCCGCCCCTCCCTTCCCCTCCATCGACGTGTTCTGGGTTCGTTTGGCATTCCTCGATCGCGGAACGACGACCGGCAATCGTGACTCCTCACCAAGATGGCGCCGCGCATCTAGCGGTCGAGTGTGTCTTTCGTCCATTTTCTCCGATCGGCTTCGCTTCGGGCTCGTTTGTTCCAAAGTTCGCAAATTCAAACCAAAGTCATGTTGTCGAATATAACCCTGAGGACCATTCTACTAAGGTCTTCGGTGGTCGCTTTGAGGGAAAGCGCCGCGGCACCCCCGCGGACTGGCTGCTCGGCGTCGCTTTCGCCACACAAAGTCAGCGGCGGTAAGAAAGTCAACACGGAGACGGTCGCGGAAATAGAACGTGGACTCATATATTGCGCACTATATAAAACGTCACCGACGGTGCGGTGAATGCAGCGCGGCAAGGACACAAGTTAGCAATCGTTAGCTCATTAACCCGATGATGCTAAAAGATGGCCGCTGGTCGCGGCCAAGTGCGCATGCGCGGACGACACGCAGAGCTCTCACGATGAGAAACTGCAACCGCGAATGTTTGTGGGTTTTGAATATGATTATTAGTCACAAGTCTCCATATTTTACGTTTCGTAATAAAATGCCGATGATCGTGCTGACGTGCATTTCAAAAGGTCAAATGTCTCGTCCGTTATAGTTTTAAAAAGAGGTCATTGATGTGACCCGAAATAATTCGAACCCTTATATTTGGAGTGACGTAACAGTTGTCTTTAATTTTATGAAAAGGAAACTGAGTTGTAATGTTTTTTTTTCAATTGTCAAGTTATTCTATCCGAATACCTCTTCTTTTTAAGATGGTTTAAGGTTTTAAAAACTAATCCCCGTTTCGTGCTTCTCTTCGGCGTCAGGAAGCGTCGGCCCTCCAGCGCCGGTCCGACATTATGCTCGTCTTTCAAAGACGAAGGAGGCAGGTACGTCTTTGTGAAGGAGATGGCTCCCGCTCTGACCGAAAGGCTCGCTTTGAACCGCTTGCTCTTTTGTTTCCTTCGCAGGTCCCGAGAGCCAACTCGCCGACCTCCCCTCGACCTCGCTGAAGATGGATTACGCCGCCGTACCGCTCGCTCAAACGTAAAGGCAACACACAACGCTAGAATTGAGGAGTGCGGCCCTTCAACTGAGAGAGGATGTGTCTTTTTTGTCAAGGCAGGACGGACGACGTTGTCAAAAGACTTCTTTCGCTGGAGTTGGCAAGTCACGTAAGTTTGCTTCAATGGTTTTGATATGACGTCCGCGCCAGATCAAGGGCTGATACCGCGCGTGTGTGCGCGCCGCACGCACGTCCTCAGAGTGAAAAGCTGGCGCTAAAAAAGGAGCAGCTGATCGCCAAGGTGCAACGAGACGAAGGCGACCGCAATTCGGTGGAAGTTCGAGGCGAGTTTGCCTTCACTGCCACGCACGCATGATTTTGGGGAGTCCATTGTGTGACCGTTCAAGTGTGTGTGTGTGTGTGTGTGTTGCAGTGGCCATTTTGACGGCAAGGATCCGCAACTTTCAGGAGCACTTGCTCAAACATCACAAGGTGAGCCGAGAGAACTCTCATATGAGGCGCCGAAAAGGTTTTTTGTCAGACCTTGAACGGATCGACGCGTTTCCTTCCTGTTGCGTCAGACGCACGCAGGATATCCTGCGATCGTCGCACCTTCACGCGAGGCGGTCGGAAAATTTCCAGTTCTCAACGTAGTCGGGCTATCGTTTCCTCTTTTGTTCGCTTTTGCTTTTTTGTTGTTGTCGTTGTTTTTCTTTAATCCAAGCCTATGGGACCATTCTTGTAGCAAAACCATTTCCACAGGCGGATTAAAATCCGTAAATATGTAAAAAAAAAAAAAAAAATCTAAAGAATCCGTATGCATAATCACAGTCACAAATGCGTGATCAAATGGGCCGCATAAATGTGCAAATGTGTACAGTGAATCGTAGCCAGTAGTACCGTGTGTGTACAGCAGGGGTGTCCGGACTTTCTCGTTGGAGGGCCGCATGCAGTAAAAGGATAAGATAAGATAAGATATCCTTTATTTGTCCCACACTGGGGGAAATTTACAGCCTTCAGCAGCAAGATTGAGGGTAGAAAGAAGAGAAAAGAAAACACAGTTACAATTAAGTGCAATATAAATATAAATATGGATAAGGTCCATATTTGTCCATAAAGGTCCATAAAGATGAAGGGGGCCACTTTTTGTGAAACATACTCAAGTCGGTCAAGGAAAGCAATTTCTATATCGTTTGCATTGTCTCGTTCATCCCCCCCCCCAATGCGAGACGTGCCTTCGTCCCCATCT